AGGGCCGTATTGTTGGTATGGAGGCTTCCACACCTCGAAACGCTGTGACAGTGTTGCTTACACCATAACCCACAGACAACCTGCACCGAATTCAGGACCACAGGCCCAAGAAGAAGTTTGACATTATTGCCAGTTGCAAGGACACTAAGGGATGGTGCAAGGCAATAACCGGCGGGTCGGTTGGCGGCTACGCTTGGACGGAGAAAGGCTGGTTTGGCTACACCTTCCAGCATATCACTCTGTGTCCAATCTACTTTGGACTCGACTCTCTGGAAGAGAAGTTCGAGATGATTGAGAAAGCTCTGGCGAGAGGCGACACCACGTACGCCGAGATTGCAGACTGGCAGAAGAACAAAGGCCAGTATTTCTTGCATGAAATGATGCACCTGGATGCCGTTGGCCAGCCTCACAGTAAGAAAACCCTCACAGTTTGTCTTCACTTTTCAGAGTCGCTGACCAGGCACGCTTAGTCTCGGACCAGTATCTCAGCAGCAGTGAAAACATCGGACCCAAAGCGTACGGCCCTGCCGGCGTCTACACGCTAGCACAGAAGGACCTCAAAAGAGGCGGCGGGGCCACGCGGGCGAGCCTCAACGCCGACAGCTACGCATGGCTGGCTAACAGCCTGTACTTCTACGACGCGACGGGCTACTTCCCCAGGCCGTCGGAGGGTACGAAGGGTGCCGAGGCTGACAACATCTACTTCGTGGACCTCGGGGAATTTGAAGGCGAGGCGAAGGACGCCGAGATCGAGAAGCGCTTCAAGGCCGAGGTGGATAGCTTCTCAAGTCCTCCGCCGACCCCTACCGACTCGTGCAAGAGCGACAGTGACTGCTCTTCGCCGCTGTGCGCCGGTGGCGGTGCTGTCTACTCCTGCGTCGAGGGTTCCTGCCAGTGCGGATCCCCCAAGCCGCCGCCGTTGTCGTCGCCGACGCCTTCGCCGTCGCCGCCCATCAACACTCCCCCGCCAGGCACAAAGTGCTTTGAGGATGTGTCGGAGTCTGAATGCACGAGCAAGTATGAGTGTCCTGATGAGAAGAAAGTTGGATGTGTTAAGAACGGCCTTGCTGAAATAACTTGGTGTACATGTTTCTAAGGTAGCAAATACGACGGGGTATATTAGTATAGCTAGCACAATCCTCATTATCGTTGTTATTATCGTCGTCGCCATTATTATTGTCTTCATCAACCGTCGTTATCGCTTGCGTCTTATCTATCATCGTCCATCATCGTCGTCCATCTTCGTCGTCCATCGTCGTCGGCCTTGAGTGTTATCCGTCGGTGTCTTTACTTCTATTCTTTTTATTCCTTCTGCTATAGTGATGAGTTGCGGTAACCTCGTAAACAGGAAATATAGTCGTGCAGACGCTCTGTTCTAGCGCCACATAGTTGTTTACTAAGGGTTTATAAATCACTACACATGGAGAGAATTTATACGTAAGACATGACGTATGTCTTTTTCCAATTGAAACCTTTATGGGGTTAGGGATTATGCTGCTATTACAAATGATCGAATATAGAAGCTGACAACAGTCACTCTCCTAGTTCCCTTGCAAGCCTCCGCTCGCAGCCTTTCGTTGCAGGAATGGTCTCTTAAGCCTACAAGCACCCCAAGCTCATTCATGAGTTTGCGATACTTAGACTTTCTTCTCCGAGCGGATAGCATAGACTCCATCATCGCGACGAATAGCGTAAGCATCTTCGCCACGGCGGATAGCGTAGGCGTCAGTATCCTCATCGCGGCGAATAGCATACGCATCCTCATCACGACGAATGGCGTAGGCGTCGGCATCCTCATCACGGCGGATAGCGTACGCGTCCTCGTCACGACGAATGGCGTAGGTGTTTTCATCGCGGCGGATGGCGTAGGTGTCGGCATCCTCGTCACGGCGGATGGCGTACGCGTCCTCGTCACGACGAATGGCGTAGGTGTTTTCATCGCGGCGGATGGCGTAGGTGTCGGCATCCTCGTCACGGCGGATGGCGTAGGCTTCCTCGTCGCGACGACGAATGGCATACGCATCTTCATCACGACGAATGGCATAGGCATCCTCGTCACGACGAATTGCATAGGCGTCAGCATCCTCATCGCGACGAATTGCATAGGCATCCTCGTCACGACGAATTGCATAGGCGTCAGCATCCTCATCGCGACGAATGGCATACGCATCCTCGTCACGGCGAATGGCGTAGGCGTCAGCATCCTCATCGCGACGAATTGCATAGGCATCTTCGTCGCGGCGGATAGCATAAGTTCCGTCATCTCGGCTCACATGTTGCTTGGGTGTACTGCGAATGGCGTAGTCTCTGGCCTCAGTCACTGGAGCAGCAGTGACGGCAGCGGCCAGCATGAGGAAGGTGAGGGCGTACTTCATACTGAATGTCGTGATGCTTTGATGTGAAGGTTGGAGGGAAAAGTTGTAAAAGTCCAGATTGTAAGTTGAAATGATGTGTAATTTGATCTTGTGTGTCCTGCTCGAAGGTCTCAACTCTCAAGAAGGTGGTTATCTCTCTCTCTTTATACTCGTCAAAGAAACCATCTCGAGACTTCCCCGGATAATCACGTTTAGTTGGGTAGAGATGTCGCTCTGCCAATAAACTGTTTAAGTGAGAAGCCCCTCTCTTGTTCATTGGCATTTGCTATCGTCGGGACTCAACCTAGCATGTCGCCATCGACAGAGGTGATAGCCAGAGTGACCGACTGGTGTGGGCTACTGCTCGGCTGCCGGTCACAATAGTTGCGCCTCGCCACCGCAGGTTTCAAACCTGAACACATCACCATTCACCTTCGCCCGAGTATTGAGAGCATTCCTGCAATGTCAGTCTCGGGGACCAATTGTCCGAGTCAATCAAAGTGGCTTGGCCGACACCCTCGATGTCCATCTAACGATGTGTTCCCCGCGGTCATCACGCATCTTGTAGCCACCTTCCGTAAGTTGTTAGACTCCTGGGTCGTCATGTCTTTGGAGAGGGCTCAACTTCAATGTTTCAATGGTTGATGTGTATTTCAATGCGACAAGACTGTTGGTGCAAGGTTGCAATGAATGCGTTGAAGTGGGGAGTCCATGCATGTGCGAAAACTTGAAGGGTCAGTAAGCTGACCGCGAGACGCGCCGAGACAAGCATGAAGCGATTCCCAACGAGGCATTTAGTGAACATTTCGGTGGCGGTCGGTGTTGTTGATCCATCTTCTCCAAACGCAGTCACTCCAATACATGCACATCCATAAGCCGCGCCGCAGCTTCGCAGTCTAGGCAACAGAGTCGCGCGAAAAAGAGGGTTCCGGTTGGGCACCGAATCATGGTCGTGCATCACACTCCACACAGTGTACGGCACAGAATTGCTTTGGATGGTCTGGCGGAAAGAAACGAATTGGCCTCTCCTGGGTGCAGGTAGCTGAGCGGCCCGGCCCACGCCGTTTGAGGGGTGCATGCATATGGCGCCATTCGGCCAGATATTCTGAAAGATGGAAAGAAATACGGACGCACTACGCGCTTGGGTTGAAGTCGTGATAACACCAAGACCTTTAGCGAAGGCAGGGTACTTTTAACCCATTTCAAGCCTGGAGTCTCGGGGCTCTCGGACAATCGAAATTGCGTTATCATGAGGACTCTGCTGTTCCCCCCGATGAAGTACACATTGTTTAATCAGGCTCGTTGCTCTGATCTAGGTCAGTCATTTTTCGCCTTACTCTCTAGGCATTCTTTACCCATTTCTAAGCAGCCATGAAGCCAATGCATATCGACACGGACGACTGCGAAGCAGCTGTACCATTTCTGGACGAGCAGCCGTCTGCAACCGGCCATGTCGAAAGCCACGCCCATCGTCGGTCAGAGTTGAAGCTTTCCCAAATCCCCGACAAAGGGCATAAGACTAAGAGGCTGTTCTGGCCTACATATCTCAATGTTCTCCTCTTCGTTGTGTCTGTTCTCATACTCCTTAAAGCCGGCGCCAAAACAGACTGCGCATGCTCATCTACATCTTCGTCAGCAGACGAGGCGATGAGATACACCTCCAGCTGGTCTCCTATTTATGACCATGTGGATCTCTCTCCTCGTCTTACTACAGTTGATGGCACCTTGTACGCTCACGACAACGCTTCTGTCTATCGCGGCGACCCGTCGCCAGGCACAGACGCTGCATGGGATGATCTCGCAGCCGAGGCATTCGAGGTCATCTTAGTCAACTCCAGCACAATGAGGCGAGCGGGGTACAATCCTGATCACTATTTCAAGGCGCCTTCGTCCTGGAAGTCGCTGACCAAGGCTGCCACCAAGACGTCAACGGGGCAGCAGGATGCAGCGAAACACGAAGATCTGTTTCCGGTGCAAATCGATGTCTTCCACCAGATTCACTGTCTCAACGCCGTCCGCAAGCAAATGCACTTTCAGCATTACTATGCAGACAAGTTCCCGGACGGTCACCCTGATGAGATGCATTGGATGCACCTAAAGCACTGCCTTCACATGGTTCTTCAAAGCCTGACGTGTAGCGCCGATGTAGATATTGTCCCACATAGATGGGTTGAAGAGGACGAAGTTCCCTTTGCTCAGTTCGGAATTACGAAGAAATGCCGGAATTTCGACGGGCTGCGGGAGTGGAATCGCCAAAACGCTATTGAGAATGTGCGTGCCGTGTGGCCCCGGAACAAAAAGTCGATGCCGGATGATGCCTTCGTCTGGCCTGGACATGGAGAATATGGTGTAGGGAATTGAGGGGTCTATACGTGATGACTGGAAACGGATCTCCGCAATGGAGTTTGGAGGTGATTCTTGTCAGGCTTGACTTGTACTGTTAGTAAAGGTCGTTCCAGGCTAATAATCCAGTACACATGGGCACGTTGGTACCCTCAATACTTGCTACCACACAGGCTTGTGATAATGTAAAAATCGTTGGATGGAATGATTTCTATTAATACGCAGGTGGCGAGGACTATCGAATCTCAGTCTTGGGGTTGTACGCAAGCATCGGCCATATCTGCCACGTCCATAGGCCCTAAGTCACTGGCTGTCCCACAAGTCTTTAAACAACGACTTGGTTTCCAGCAGAATCGCAGGATTTCCAATCTCAGCAATGTTCCCAGAGTCCATAACAACCACAACATCATAATCCAAAATAGTGCTCAATTGATGAGCAACAGCAATCACGGTGACGTTTTTGAACTCATCCTGGATGACTTGTTTCATCATGCTTGCAGTATGCTGGTCAACACTAGACGGCAAGTCAGTCATTCGGTCGGAAGGCTGCAACCTCAAAAGTCGCTATGACGGGTTCGACTTACCTGCTTGTCGCTTCATCCATGAGTACAATCTTACTTGGCTTCAAAATTGCCCGACATAGAGCCAGCAATTGCTTCTGGCCCTGGCTGAGGTTGTCTAATGTACCTGCAGCATGCAGCCCGCCAGCGTCCTCAATGACTTGCCACATCTGAACCTTCTCCACCGCTGCGCGTAAAACGTCATCGGACAGAACCCCTGCTGGATCGAGATTCTTGGCTACAGTGGCGTGGAAGAAGAACGGCTCTTGGGGGATCGTGTTGATTGCAGATCGGACATCTGATGGATGAACTGAACCGACATCGACCCCATCGATCTGAATTGATCCCGAAACCAGCTCGGCCATTCTCGTCAATGCTGCAATCAGAGTGCTCTTACCACTGCCGCTGCGCCCACAGATAGCAACCCTCTGGCCCGAGGTTATGTCAAGAGTGAAGTCCCTGAGTGCGAAACTGGGTTTTTCGGTGTCAGAAAGCCCGTAGCTCACAGTTGCTGCATCGAAGCTGACGCAGCCCTCCTGCGGCCATTCTGTTGGCGGCGATTGGTACACAGCTGTGTTGTCGTCAGGATGGTTTTCGGAAGGGGTGTCTTTCTCAAAAGCTTTAATACGGGAGATTGCAGTAAGAGACGTCTCGAGGTTGGTGTAGTTGATGACGATCATCTTGAGCTCTTGACTGAGAGACATGAGTTGGATTAGGGCAACTCCCAGCAGGCCTCCCGATGTAGAAGGCATCCGTGGCGCAATCGCAGCTACAAGGATCGCCATTATTGCGATTATAAGTTCCAAGACAAGCTGCAGCCACCTCTGGACCATGTACAAAAGATACACAGGCTTCTGAGAGGCATCCACCAGATCATGGTTTGCCTCAATGGACTGCGCGGCCCAGCCGAGGGCGCGAATGGTGGCCAAGCCCTGTACTGTCTCCAGCAGATTTGTCTGCAGCGGACTTCTTGCCTCAAGATCGAGGAAGCGAAGCTGTCTAGAGGTCCTCAGATAGAAGCTCTGGACGAAGTGCAATGTGACCAGCAGGAAAGGATAGGCGATAGCGACATAAGGTGCGGCAACCGCTATCAAGATCATCTGGACCAGGGCCACAAGACCTGCCGAAAGAGTCTCCAGAAGAGACATCGGCATGTCTCCATCCACAAGAATGATGTCTTGGGAGAAGCGATTTGTCGTGATACCCGTGTCAACGGCACCGAAAAAGGATTGAGGCGCCCATATCATGGTCTTGAGTAAGACGTGGTGGAGCGAAGTGCCGGCTTGAACAGCGAGGGTTGTAAGTGAGAAGCCAGAGAACAAGGCGAGGAATGCTAGCGCAAGCACCTGGAAGGCGGCGTAGACGCCTAGATAGTAGCCGTCCTGGCTGCCGTTAGATGACCCCGATGCGGCTGAGGACCAGAAGTTGAGCCAGACGGTACCGATTGTTGAGAAGACAGCCCAGCCACAGGTAAGAGCTACGAAGACCATGACTCGCCAGAAGCCGATGTGGGACGCTAGATATTTGTAAATAGACGCATCTCCAAGTCTTCGCGTCAAGTCATCTGCCGGCTCGGCAGCAGCCAAGTCATCGTCCCCATTTGCAAGGGATTGGTTGGCCTCGTTTGCGTCTCTGGTGGCTCCATCGCTGGTTGCTTCGCGAAGCACATCGCCATCTTTGCTGCTCTTTTCCTGGATCGCGAGTGATTTGATGTACGAAGAGTGCTCCCGTAGCTGTTCGTATGTTCCCGCCTCAGCCACATGTCCGTCGAGGCCTAGGACTATAATGTGGTCTGCCCGAGGAAGAAGGGAGACGTCGTGTGTGCAAAGAACGACGGTGCAGCCACTCTGACGCAGTAAGCCTTGAGGGCCTATAGCGCGTTGGAAGACCTTGACTTTGGTCGTTGCATCAAGGCCAGAAAAGACATCGTCGAAAATAGCCATTCGCTTTCGTGCATAGAGTGCCCGGGCTATCGCCACCCTCTGCTGCTGTCCGCCACTCAAACGGGTCCCTTTGCTACCAACATTTGTAGCTCGGCCCTGTGGGAGAGCTGCAATGTCGTTTCCCAAGTCTGTAGCATGGATAACCGACTCCAGCCAGGTGCTATCGAAGTTTGAGAAACCCGTAATGTTGTCAAGGAGTGTCCCGTACATGATGAATGGTTCTTGACCACAGAAAGCAATATCCGTATTTGCGGTTTCACGGACAGAGTCGAATATCTGGATGTCTCCTTGGAAATGTGGCAGTTCGCTGATTATTGCCCTGGCTAAAGTGCTTTTTCCGCTTGCCACAGGTCCTATGATCATGGTCAACTGAGAGGCTGGGATGTTGATGTTGACATCTGTCAGGACCGGCTTGGTCTCTGACCATCCAAGCTCGCCAGCACGAATGACCACAGCGCTTCTAGGTCCGGCGAGAGGCAAGTCTTCAGGTTGGACCTCTGAAGTGCTTGGCGAAAAGTTGGTTTTCCTTGGCTCGGCATGAAGGTACTTCTCAACTCTGTTCAGACATCCAAGTGATGCCACGAAGAGCGGGATCGCCTGGAACAGCCACACCAATGGCTGCGTCATCAGCTGGAGCAAACCGAGTGACGTGAAAGCTTTGACGGTATCCAGCTGCTCACCAGCACTCTGCGCCTGGAGTACAAAAACCAGGAACGTGAAGACAGGAGACAGAAGCAGCGGCAGAAAGGCGATCGTGGCAGTGAGCACCTCGATGTGGCGGAAGTGTCTAGCAGCGTGGAGCTCTGCCTTCCTGAGCTTCTGGAGCAGATCATACACACTTTCCGACAGTCCGAGAAGTTTGATGCTCTTCATTCCCGCGACAGCTCTTGCGGTCATGGCGACGCGCTCTTGCGTCGCTTCCATCCACGAGACCTGGGCTTTGTCCGCGAACGCACTCATCAGCATTGAGCCGAGGCTTGACACGGTCGCCACGACTGCCGGAGCCACACAGGCTATCCCAAGCTCCCGATACAGCAGCCAAACAGAGATGGCAACCTGTACGGTGTTGGCCCATATCTCGTGGACATCTTTGAAGCCTGCGATGATACGTTCCATATCGGTACTGATCAAAGGGACAGCCGCGGTCGTGTCGCAACGAGCAGGATCGATGCCGAGCGTTTTCTCGTACACAGCCGCCAGAATGCACCCGCGCAACTTCACGAGAGACTTGTATGTTAGACGCCAGTAGATGCATCCTGAGATGGCTATGCCGAGGTAGACAAGCCCGTAAGTAATGATGAAGGCGTAGCCGGTATTGCCAACAAAGGTTGCTTCGCCAGCGAGATACCGAAGAAACTCGCGTAGCAGTAGGGGTTGGCAGAGAGTAAAAGCGACTTGAGCGAGGCGCGGCATGACTGGCGCCATGATTGACCATCTAAGGGCTCTGAGAAGCACAAGAGAAAGTCTGGGGAGTCGTTTGCTTTGCTTGTTCCACATTGCACCAAAGGCGCAGGACAGATGTGCTGTGCCTAATCCCTCACTGAGCGGGTCAAGATCGGTGGGTGCCAGGAGTGTCTTCCGGCCCTTCACCAAAATACCCCGAAGCCATATCAGAAGGCTACGACTGAATACGCCGGCCGTTTCTTCGGGTGTTTTGTGTCGCCATTCTGGCAGCAGAAGACTTCGCTTCTCGATCACTTCCAACACCAGCAAGCCGCTTTTGATTACCAAAGCAGCGGTGAACTCGGCCGGTATGAGTATAACACTACTTGACTCGTCGTGTGCCTTGAGCCAAAGTGTACGGGTCTGCACGGCATCAAAGCTCAGCGAGACGAGCAGGTAGACATTGAGTAGCGTTGATGGGCGTGGCGAGTATGAATGTTCGAGCCAGGACAGTGTCCCAAGCGCAAAGACATCCACCAATTTCAGGATGGCCGCCGCGATGCTGGCTCTTGTTCCGTAGAGTCCTGGATAAGTGTTGATCCATGAAGCGAGAAGGGCGACCTCAATCGCGCCATAGCAGGCGACCGCGCTGAGCTTCGCCCAGCGGAGCCCTGTGCCCACGGCGACTCTCTGACTCTTCTTCCGTCTCGGAAACAGGACTAAAAGGCGGATGGCGGCCAAGAACAGAAACAGGCCAGACGGCACAGCGGAAAGAATGGTCTGCTCGAAAAGCAGCGAGAAGTCGAAGTCTCCTCTGCAGCCATGGACAGGACCGAACTCCGAATCGGCGCAGGCGGATGAGTTGGCCATGTTGCGCCGTGACTTCGACGTCTCTATGGCTGGCTGGCTTTCCGCGGGTTTCGGTGGATTGAGGGTGTGAAGTGGAAGAAAGGGAGAGGCTTCAATTCTGACCAACAGCCAACAAGATGAATTGACCAAGAACCCATGTCTCTCCCGCGGATAAACGGGAGAGCACCCCAATCCCTGTATCTCGGGCGGAAGAGCGCATGCATAAGCTGAGGTGGGATCCACCCGGTCACCATTTAAGGCAGGAGGATAGACATGCTCATCAGCACAGTGAGATGATATACTTGGCATACACTGGCTACGTATCCGTACTGCATGACCAACACAACGCTCGCATAAGATTTTTAGTGCCACAACTAGACTCAGGGCGTATGTGTATTATTGCGAATACATCCTCTGTCCAAAATGAGCTTCACTCATCCGGTTGCTGTTGATCCCATGGGATAACCAGGACGACCTGCCTTCCCACCGGTTTTCGGTTTGCTTTCGCCTGATCTCACTCTTCTTTCACGCCCTGTACTCCATGACACTGCTTCAGCCATACCGAGCACGAGAAGTTTTTCAGATTCTCAACGATGCTCGGCAACATGCACAAGCACATACAGAAGCATTGGCTTCGATGTGTATTGATCGTCACCATCCTTCCTCTGGCGATGTTCATAGCCGACGCGGTAGTTGAAATCACGCACTATCCAGCGCGGCAGACCAAGTCAACTGAATATCAGACACCAATTGCCCAGCAAGATTCCTCGATCAACAAATCTCCAGCAGCAGCAACCAGAAAGGCTGAACTTGAGCACTTGTGGGGTTTTGAAGTTCGTATGACCTGTTCCAAGGACAGCTTTGTTGAGTGGCTCCTCGCCCCAGAAGCATCACACTGCAACCTCACATCTGACACTTTAATTTGTATAGTGGTCGTACTCTGGCATTTCAACATTCGCACACCTCAAACACGTCAAGTGTCTGACTGAGCCCGATGTTGCGTTTGACATCGGTATCATCGGTGCGCCGTTCGACACCGCTGTCTCCTATCGCACGGGTGCGCGGTTTGGGCCCCGAGCTATCCGCGTGGCTTCCGCGAGGCAATCTCGCGCCAGAGGCTGGAACGCAAGGGCCGGTATCAATCCGTACAAGTCTGGCTTGAAGATCATTGACTGCGGAGATATCCCACTCGTTCCAATCGACAACGGCGTAGCACTGCGCCAAATGACGGAAGCCATGACAGAGCTAGGCTCAAGACCATCCAAGCCACGACTCTTGACGTTGGGCGGAGATCATAGTGTTGCTTTGGGTGCCCTGCGTGCTTTGCGCCAGGTCTACGGACAACCCATCACCGTGTTGCATCTCGATGCGCACCTGGACACATGGATCCCCCCGAAGAGTGTGAGCGATTTCCCCTGGTTTTCGGAGCAGGGCCGTTTCAACCACGGAGACGTATTTGCTTTGGCTTGGGAGGAGGGTCTCATTGCCAACGCCAGCTCGGCTCATGTTGGGCTACGGACCAGGCTGTCAGGCCCTCAAGATAATGTTGATGATGATGCTCAAGGATTTATTCAGATCAGTTCAGACGAGGTTGATGTCATTGGTACAGATGGAATCATCAGACGGGTCAAGGAGCGGGTCGGTACCGGTCCAGTCTATCTCAGCTTCGACATCGATGTCGTGGATCCAGGACTAGCGCCAGGCACGGGAACGCCCGAAGTGGGCGGGTTCACTAGTAGGGAAGTCATTCGCTTGCTGCGGGGACTAGAAGGGATTGACATCGTGGGTGCTGATATCGTTGAGGTTAGCCCGCAATACGATGGACAGGGTGAACAGACAGCGCTCATAGCTGCGCAAGTAGCCTACGAGATTTTGACGAACTGGGCGCTGGCCTCGAAAGTAGATACACCATGAGTTTGGTGCCGAGCCATGGAAGACTGGACTCATAATTCAGGAGGAATGATCCCGCTGGTGCAGGATCCAGTGTAGAAACATCTCTGTGAGCTATTGTTCATAAAGGTCCATCGTGTGAGTCATTTTAAAGTTCAGAAAGCCAGACATAATCAAATCTTATATCTTTACCTTATATTTATTTCGCAATGCTCTTTTTGTACGAAGTACAGCTCAAACTGCTCGTACTCCATACGGAAAAAAATGAAGTCGAGACGGGTTGCGCCAGAAGAGGACGAAGATCAGTCGAACGGCATGATGGCTCATTGAATTGGAGCCCTAGCCCGTGTCATTCGGTGAAGAATCCACTGTGCTCACTGACTTCTGTGAAACGAGGCCGAGCATGGCAGCAGAGAAGCAGATCATTGGAACAAAGATTAATAACGTGTAGAAGCCAACTTGTTCAAGGCTTTGGAGCCACCACTGGAGCTGGCAAGCTGAGAAGCCGGGATAGCGAGGTTTCCATTACGTCTGCTTGTCGGTGGTTTGGGCTGTGTTTGGTGACTAGTATAAATGGGAACGGAATGTGTGGTGGCACGAGGAGATCGGCCGCCTATTGTGATGAGAGTCAGCGAACTAGCATGAAGGGCAATGAAGTATATGCTAAGAATTAAGGCATCTAGGGAAGCCCAGAAATGCGCATAAGCAATATCAACAATGGGTGTCTACTTTGCAGAAGAGACTAAAATCCGTGATTGGAAGTACGGCTGGAAGTTCTCATACTTGTATCAAATCAAACCAATGTAGTCTATTACTTGAACTATTATTAATTTTGAACGCGTGAACGTTCATTCGCAAAGCGCGCACAATTGGCATGTAATGATTCTAGGGGTGTGATCAGTTTCTGCAGCTTATAACGAAGGATGTCCTCTACTAACATAGGATCTACAACTTCGATTTTCAAGCTTCCCGGGTCTTTACGGTAGCGACTATTCACAGTCATAGGAAAATAATATCAACGTAATATGAGACCCAGAAGAATACTAAGGAACGAACGAAATATTAAAGAGGAAGAAGGAAGGTGGAGGAGCCAGATCAAGCGACTTGGAAACGAGGAGGTGGGGCTTATGCTACATAGTTGCCATTTTCGGTGAATTTGTCAATTGGCGTTGTGGCAGAGTGGTCTAATGCGCAAGACTAGAAATCTTGTTCCTTCGGGAGCGTCTGTTCGAATCAGGCCAACGTCGAATTTCTTTTGACATTTTTGCCCATTCTGGGTCGTTTTCTTTCTATTTACGCTGCACTTCCATTGGCTGTTTTCCCTCGAATGTTCTATTGAATTACAATGTGGTGGTAATCTTTGTATTGTTGTGGATGGACTTCTTTCTATCTTAACGTGAGACCATTTGACATAAAACCGCTAGAACCCGACCTCTTCTCTGGTCTATCTCATGTACATGTATTGACAACGCTACCTTTGGGGGGTGCCCGGCGTTGCTTTCATACCCTGCCAACTCTTCCCTAGCAACCCGTTCCCGGCGCCCTTCTTTTCCTGCTCTTCCATCCTCAAGACCAGCTCCCCAAACCCTCCATTAGCCCATCCAAACCACGCTCTCGTCCAGTCGTTCTCGTTCCAGCTGTTCACGCTCTCATGCAACACCCCCGTTCCCGCGGTCGAGTCCAGAATCATCGACACCTGCTCCTCAACCTCCTTCTCAACGTCCTTCACCCCGGAAATCGGATCATACGCCGTCATCGCCGCGATCACCGCCGCCATCGGCCACGCTTTCCCCGGTCCCACGTGCGGGCCGCCGACAGCTGAGATGACCGGGCCCCGCATGAAGTACGAGTTGGCGTCGCTGAGGACGTACTTGCGCGTGTTGCGGTAGATCTCGGTGTAGTCCCTCTGCTTCTCGCCCTTCGGCGGGCCGGGAACCTTGTAGCTGGACTTGGTGAAGTTCCACAGCGGCATGGCCAGCAGCGACGGCACGTTCGCGTCGTCCATCAGATTCGCACCGCCGAAGCCGTCGACCTCGTACGCGAAGATGTCGCCGAACCCAGGCCGGTGCACGATCGCGTCCTTCTCGATGCCCTCCCGGATGCCGTACGCCTGGTCGCGCATCGCAGCCGTCAGGTTCTTCGCCCGCTCGCCGGGCAGCTTCGCCATGATCTCCGACGCGTCCTCGAGGTATTTGGCCCACATCATGTTGGCCGGCACCAGGAACTGGAAGATGCACGCGTCGTCGGACGGCCGGAACGCGGTGCGCACCATGCCGTTCTCCTTGATCGGGTTGCCGAGGCCGTCGTTGGTCAGCGTCTCACTGCCGCGGTTCGTCCACCCCGTGAACGTCCACGCCGACTTCTCGACCTTGCCCTCCTTGGAATAGGTCCCCAAGCGCATCGCTCCCGCGGCGGTGACCGCGGCCTCGACGGCGTCCATCCACACGTACTTGCCGAAGAACTCCCAGTCGCCCGTCTTCCGCGCGTACGCCGAGGACAGCTGCAGGAAGCTGGCGAGCGAGTCGAGCTCCCACTTGCAGTCAAAGACCTTCTGGGGGTCGTAGGCGGGCATGGGGTGGTTGTGGACGTACGCGCCGTTGTGCGTGGGCGGGATGCCGCTCTCGGGCGGCGGCTGGAAGGCGTGGCAGTACGGCGAGATGACGATGTACCGCGAGTGCGCGTTGATCAGCCCGCGCCAGAGACTGGCGAGCGAGTCCTTGTCCGTGGACGCCTCCAGCAGCGGCAGGTACGAGTACACCTGCGACGCCGAGTCGCGCAGCCACAGCGCGTCGATGTCGCCGGTGATGACGTACGTGAGCTCCATGTCAGTGACCTTGGTCTCGCCCGTCTTCTCGTCAGTCTCGTTCGCGAAACCGCGCCACTTGACCATGCTGTCCAGCGTCATCGGGTACGCGTTCTCAAACAGGCGGTACAGGTCCGGGTCCTTAATCACGCCCTTCATGCGCGTGATGAGCGCCTCCATGGCCGGGGACGTGAAGGTGCGGCACTCCGGCCGGGGCCGGTTGAGCGGGAACTGGCGCCTGCCCTCGGACAGCGGCCCAGGCCGGGTGCGCATCCAGCTCTCATACGACGGGCACGGCTCCGTGGACACCGGGGGCGGCACGGCCGGAGCGACTGGCGGCGTTCGGCCAGAGGACGGCGTTGGAGCGTTCGCCGCTGCAGATGCATCTGCGGGCTTGCGGCCGGCGTCGGGGGGTTGCTTGGCTAACTCGCCGTCCTTGTTGCGGTACGAGTCCTCGCCCTCCGCGTCTTCTTTGAGCTTGTTGCCGGCTGCGTCCGGCTCGCCGTGTGCTGCTGCCGGGAGGTTCCCATCCTTGTTCTGGCTTGCTTGTTGATTCTGCGCCGCGCTTCCTGGGGCGGCCTGTTGTCCTGTGTATGCTGCAGGCAGGTAATCGCTGCCGAGGCCCGAGTTGTGGAACAGGAACAGAAAGACGATGGCGACGAAGGTGATGACCAGCACCCGCGCACGCCGGGTCTGTATGTTGCTGCTGAGGAATGCTGGCATCGTGATTGATTTTCCTAGGGGGTTATTGAATTCTGGCCCCCTTCACTGAGCCCAAATTCCAAACGCTTCTCCGCCTGGTCTTACAAGCCACTTTCGTCGTTGTTGGTCCAGTTTGTGAAGTTCTCGTCACAAAACGAGCAACAGAAGACCAGGTCACCGACCGAAGAGTGTCCTGTCGCTTATTCACATAACAGAACAAGTCATCATTCCAACGTTTCGAAAGGAACCGAAAACCTTCAGGCGACGGTGTCGAGTCTGAAGACGAAATGCAAGGGTCATCCCTTAACCGGTCATCCCACTATATTTGGGCCTTTAGCTGGCTCCATCCCGCTGTCTCGGTCGCTTCTTGGCAAATTTGAGTTCCCTCGCTTTTGGTGCCGCCACCCTTGCTAGCCTGCACTTTAACGAGTTTTGGGTCGCATAGCTCGTCGATAAAAGGGGGGGGAATAATCCAGGGACGTCGGAGCTTCTGGCGGGGAAGAACGACTCGGAAGAGAGAGCGAGAGTGAAATGGCTGCTTAGCGGCCGTAGCTGGTGGCCAGTAGGTTTTCTGTGCAGTGCCGTTGATTGCCGTTCATCCCAAATACGAATCCAATCACGGATGTGTGCCTCCGAGTGGGCTGGATGGCCGACCACGCGACCCCCCAGATTCAATTGCAGGCTAACCACCAAAAGGCAAGGTGGTGGTGTGCCGTGGCTGAACCACCGAGCAATTAGTGACAGTGGTCAAAAAGATGGATTCGACGTTGGCCTGATTCGAACAGACGCTCCCGAAGGAACAAGATTTCTAGTCTTGCGCATTAGACCACTCTGCCACAACGCCGATTGATCATGAACCCGCTTCTATGCGGGGATGGGGAAGATTGGGCCCCTGGGACATCAAGATGCGACAGCGGGGGAACCAAACGTGGTTTGTGGTGCTGAATCAAGGGACCAAAATACGACGTTGCGTGAATGGTGGAATTATTTTTAATCAACATCACCCAGAGTGGGACATCAACTAGACACATAGATACATATCCATGGATGCTTTCATCTGAAACCTCGAAAACTCAATTGTCTCATGCAACCTCAACACAGCATCATCTGAGCCCGTCATGCTGTTACAAGCCCTCCGCCGTCTCAGTACTTGAACAACCTGGGCTGAGTCCCATTCCTCTCCGCCTCTCTCGCCAGCTTCCTGTTCGCCAGTCCATAGTACACCCGCAGCGCCGCACACCCGACGACGACGACAAACAGCAGCGCCGCGTTGGACCAGTGCCCGGTCGGATACCCGATCGCCTTCTCCTCCGCCTTGTACACCCACACGCCCGGGATCTGCCCGAGCCCCGCCCCGAAGCTGACGTTGAGCGCGATCGCGAGCCCCGTCGACGCCGTGCTGAAGATGTTGGACGTGAGCCAGCCCAGGAGCGGCGGGATGCATGCGAAGGCGCCCGAAGCACCGACGATGAGGCAGCCGTAGCGCGCGTGATAGGCGTCCGGGGGGAGGACGGCGGAGACGACGAAGCCGATCGCGCCGATCAGCGCAAGGGCTGCGGAGTGCACGCCGCGGGCGTTGAAGTGGTCCGCGGAGTATGCGACGAGGATCTGGACAACTGGGAAATGTCAGCCTTCGAACATGTGTGAGAGTGATGTGAAGTTTACCATAAGCCGCGGCATACGGCGGAACCGTCATCAATTGCGCCTGAAGGTCCACGAATCCCAACCCCGAGGTGATTGACGGCGTGAACAGCGACAGCGACGAGAACGGGATCGAGATCGCGAAGTAGACCACATAGTGCCCATAGAGGCGCCAATCCGTCAGCGTCGCCTTCGCATCCGCCCACGACATCGTGCTGTGGCTGCTCTTGCTGCCCTCGTGGTACAACCGCTCAATCGCCAGGTCCTTCTCGCGCTCGGAGAGCCAGCCCGCACTTTCGGGATAGTCTGGCAGGAAGAACCACACGAAGAAGGCCGACAGACACGACGGGATGCCTTCGAGGATGAAGAGCCACCGCCAGCCCGACATGCCGTTCACCTGATTCATGTGCCCGATGCCGTACGCGATCGCGCCGCCAAAGGCGCCCGCCAGCGTCGCGCTGGCCAGGATCATGGCGACGCGCACGCTGCGCTCGTCGTGCTTGTACCAGAACGTGAGGTAGTAGACCAGGCCCGGGAAGAGGCCGGCCTCGAAGACGCCCAGCAGAAAGCGCACGCCCGTAACGGCCGGGCCGGTCTTGACGCCGCCGAGGCCGATGGTCACGGCGCCCCAGGAGAACATGAGGAACGCCAGCCAGCGGGAGGGGCGCAGCTTCTTGAGCAGCATGTTGGATGGGACCTCGAAGAGGGCGTAGGCGATGAGGAAGATCATCAGCGCGATGGTGAAGTCCCTGTTGGACATGTGCGTCTCGGATTGCATGTCGTGGCCCGAGGAGGAGTTGAGGATCTTGGCGTTGCCGATGTTGGAGCGGTCGAGGAAGCAGAGGAAGTAGATGCCCGCGCATATTGGGATGATGCGCTTGTCTTGCTTCCAGAGCAGAGCTCTTTCTTCTTCTCGAGAGGAGGAGACAGGGGAGGGGGAATGGATGTCCTGTCATCGGTTCAGTGTGATGTTTCTCATCGTCGTGGGTGAAGTTTGCGACGCAGTACCTCTTTCATCGTCGGTGACTCGATGTCGCGAGGGCCTATGCCCTTCTCACCCGTCGTCGCCATCTTGTTGTCGATGTAGCTGATGATGGCGATGTAGTTGGCCTTGGCAAGTCTTCGCAACAGGGCACTCCCCTCAAATAAATCGCCGCGTGAAAATTGACTTTCAAGCCACAGGAAGAATCTGTTCCGCCCACCGGCAAACTCACTTCACGAGGAAAACCTTCGCAAAACTTCAAGCGACGACTGGACCGCCGCCCTTTTTCATCGGCCGAGTCCCTCCAAACCCCGCATACGCGGGGAAGCTTCTAAGCTTCTACTCACACCCGCACTTCGTGCCGCCCCAACCACCCTGTCCCCGTGCCGTAGTCCCGCATGTTGGTAGTGTCGTCGGTGGATCTTTGCGTGGAAGATCTCGCGAATCAAAGGCGATAGTGTGCTGCGAGATTCGGATTGTTTTGTTGGACGGATGCATGTGTGACCAAAGAGGTCCCTACAAGCGCCGGGGAATCACCGAGGCCGGATGATGTGGCCGGGGTGTTGGTTGACCGCTCATCGTGAACCCTGGATCGACTGCTTCGCGCAAACACCTGCGAACCAATGGTTTTGGTGGTTGATATCGATGTTTGCTTTTTTTACGGTTGGTTCTCAAATGAGGTGAGGAAAGATGATGGCTGGACGATTGCATAAGCAGTCTTCCAAGTCACGATTTGGAGAAGAGGAGGCGGCATTCCCGCACATACTACGCATGTTAAGTTGGGCTTCTTCTTACCCAAGCTATCTCACCATTCTATTATTCCCACCGTCGAATCGCTCGTCGATAACCTTTCGCTTCGTCAGCTTTCGCTCGAAGAATATACCATTCCGGGAACCACAAGTCTGCTTTTAGCCGCGATCGAGACAGTGTCTCAACGACCGCGCCCAAGATAGATGACCTCAGATTCCAAGCGGCTCAAACTTGCAGTTCTTTGGGCTTAGGTCCTTCATCACATGCGCTTCGCGTACCTTAGCCACAAAATGAACAGAATTAGAAAATGCACGAGCCCCAAATCCAAACTTCTCGAACAGCGTGTCCGATGAGTCCGCCGATACCACATCCACCGCCTTAGACCGGATCCGGCCTCGAGGCTCAAAAACACGGACTGTGCGGCGAAGCCACCAGCTCCCTCAAATTACACACAACACGCACAATCTCGACGATGCATTAACATCCAATTCCAACTCGCATTCTTCAGTGAATAACAAACCTCGCTTGAGCCAGCCCTACGTGGCTTAACCCCTTGATAGTGGCGCGCCGATCTGGCGGAGCTCGTGCGCCGACTTTCACATGCAAGCTTCTTCTCTGTTTATCCCATTTTGAGACAGCTACTGCTGATAAGCGTGTGTGTATTTTTTTTAATCTGGCATGGTAAACATAAACACCATGTCGCGCTCATCGTTCGCCGCAGGAAGGAATCTTTCCTGAAAGCCCCTGTCCCGAAGTCAGAGAAACCACCGCCTGGTGAGAGAGAATCCAGCCGACATGGACAGCCCGACGATGGAGAACTTTATCGACTGCGCCCATCATGCTGCAGTGTCAGACGAAGAGAACTTTCCTGATAGGAAGCGACTTGTTATCTGCTGCGATGGAGCGTGGAACAGCTCGTATGCTACCTGGAACATACTTCTTCTCAACCAGCGACTGACGAAAGCGTACCAGAAACATTGGCAGCAATGCCATACCGACGAACATCAGTCGATTGTCTGCGGCTGTAGCACACAAATGCTGTACCGGCATGCCGCAGGTCGTGTACTACCACCGCGGCCCCGGGACCGACGAGTCAAAGACAACGAGCGTCCTCGAAGGTCTTCTCGGTCTAGGAGTTCGACAAGTAAATCGCCCCTTCATGATCGCCAAAATTCCATATGACTAACCCTGTTTGCCAACAGGACATTGTCGATTGCTACCGCTTCATCTGCGATAACTACAACCCCGGCGACGAGATCGTCATTTTAGGATTCTCACGGGGCGCATTCACAGCCCGCTCCATCTCCTCCATGGTCTGCTCCCTGGGCTTCCTCAACCGCACCGGCCTCCGGCATCTCGCAGACATCTACCAGGATTACCAGTCGTTCAACGAATGGACCAGCGAGTTCCTGTACGACCCGAGCAAGCATCTCCGTGCCTTCACTGTCGAGCAGCTGGGGAAAAGAGTGAAGAAGGAGTTTATGGATAAGATGGAGAGGATTGAGAGGAAACTCGACGGCCGAGGGTATGAATCCGATGAACGGAAGAAACAGCTCGGGGAGGAGTTCGCCAAGTTGTATGCAACCTATGAGAGGAGGCTGAACCCCGAAGCGTTAAGGAAGCGGCTTGAGAGAGAGAAGGCGGAGTTGTTCAAGAGGATGACACAGATGAAGAAGGACAATGGCCAGATGAGGTTCAGGAAGATGGCAAAAGCGTATCGCGGTCAGCTGTCAGAGGTAAGGAGCCACTTCTCTTTCAAAAAGGGATTTTTTACTAACAAGGACAGTATCAAATGTGCCTCACGAGGAGGAGCAGCATGCAGGCCCAAACAACATTCGAAGCTGTGGAGGGAAGAGTGAAGGCAGTTGGTAAGTCTCCCTGTTCCTCTAATATCGGATGTCTTACTAACACGGTCGACTGCGGCAGGCGTTTTCGACACCGTCGGAAGCTTTGGTATTCCAAAGATGCCCTGGTCGTTCTGGGAAGGCAGTGCCTCAGAGGTATGATACCGTCAAAATTGGCGACAGCGGTTTGTGAGAACGGGCTCTAACAATTTTTATAGCTTCGATTTGCAAGTCTTGATGTCCATCCTAACGTAGACCACGCCTTCCAGGCCCTTGCTTTGGACGAGTCGAGAACAGCCTTCGCACCAAGTTTATGGAACTTGAGCCCCAAGAATCACAATACTCAACTGCGACAGGTTTGGTTTCCTGGATGCCACAGCAACGTCGGTGGTGGCTCTGAATCTCAGCAAATTTCCAAGATAGCATTAGCATGTAAGTCGGCCTTACCCGCTACGACGCGCTTGGAAAGCTAACAAATCTTGCAGGGATGGCGGACCAGCTCACATCGATCGGCGTCGAATTCAGCAAGCAGGAAATGAAGCGCATCTTCCGCACCATCCCATCCCCGAGCGACGCCCGTCCCTGGGGCTTGGGCAAGATCACCAGTCCAGACAGCCTCGTCACAACACTCCCCGATGCAGCTTGGAACGCAGTCACCCTTCCATACCGAACCGTCACGAACCAATGGACGGAGAGCTCCACACGCAAGCCCGGCTTATACAGGGACGAGCTCCGCGACAAGGCCATGACCAACACTGTGGAGCTCATCCACCCCTCCGTCCGAGTGCGCTACCTCTACCACGGCCTTGGCGTCGACGACTCGGGCGAGTGGCAATGCAAAGCCCTATCCGGTCGCGGTTGGCAGCTCATGTTCGAGAAGAGCCCGCCCAAGGAGGAAAACATCCGCCCGGGCCGCGACCCGAATGTCATCGACCAGTACAAGACCACCACCGGTTCCGTCACCGCCGTGTACGAGCAGTACCCGCGCGACCACCACGAGTACTCCGCCGAGGAGAAGTTCATCAAGGCCGAGCAGCCGCTCGAGTCCGACCTCAAGACGCTCGACGCGCCCAAGAACACGTGGACGTGGCGGCTGCGGCACGGTGACCGCCAGCTCGTGCTGCCCGAGGAGCAGGTGGGCATGTGGGAGCGTATGTACATCGAGATCAACGACGATATGGTCAGGTGGCAGAAGATGACGATGGATGAGCGCAAGAAGCGGTGGAGCAGGGGCGACCAGATCAGAGACTTGGCGAGAGAGAGCGTTGCTTTTGCGTTTGATGCGGTCGATCAGATTGTGAAGACAGCGGTCGGTACGGTGTTTGGTGGGCCTCCAGAGAAGTATCTTCCTAAGGGGTACCCGAGCGAACACGGCTACCATGATTTCGTGTCATGGCAACGAGGTCTAGAAGACGACAACTCGTTTGATTCGAGGAGAATCTCTGTTGGCTCTGAGGGATACGGGAGTTGGTGAGCATATGCTTTGTACGATTTGACGTTCCATGGGTAATGATTAGTGAAGATGACAAAGGAACGCGATGTTGGCCGGTTGGAGTTTGCTTTGGCTGTCTCGATGTATCATAATTGCGAAAGGCGTTGGCTGGAATTCTTGGGAACGACTCCGCATAATATTACTTTTTGTTTTGGTGACGACCGCAAACACGACATCCTCCGCGTTCTATCTATGTCTTTTAATGGACTTAGGTCTCTCACCTGTATCACACATATCTCTGCCCTGGAATATGCATCCCACCCAGCTGCTCCGCCGATGCCATGCCTGTAAACCCACCACCTGCCCAGTCTCCTACCGCCCCGCCCATCCCATCCATGAACAGTGATGGGTCAACGATATCATAGACATCAGGCCCCCAGGCCATATCAAATCCCCAGCTTCCCATGGTCGAAAAATTCGCTGGGATGTTCCCCTGCATCTCAACTTCGCCCATTCCATCCTGTTCGCCACCCTCGCCATCTTCATCCTCCTCCTCCTCGCCTTTGGACACCATTTCGGCCCACCTCCTCTGTCTGATCTGTGCAATCCTGACCTTTGTCGCACCCAGAGTGTAAATGTTACCCCTCCATGGCCCAGAGTCAGCAGACACCGCCGCCATGGTTGCATCGACCTCCTCTAGCTGGGTAGCCACTTTGTTGAGGATATCCGCTACATCGATCAAGAGCGCGGGCTGTCTTGAGAGCTGTGCCCTCAGCTCAGTGAGGACCTGAGGCAGGCTTTTCTCGGGCGTAGACGGATCTCGTGAGGGCGACTTAGATGATGTCGAAGGCGTAGAGATTGAGACAGGAGTATTGGGATTGATGGCTGCCTCCATCGCCGCCAGGGCTGCGTTAGGATTATCACTCGACGGGTCGGCAACAGTTGCAAGCTTTGAAGGTTCGCTGTTACTGGCGGCGAGCCACGCCCAGCGACTAATCATCACCACGGCGTAGATCAGCTGCAACGCCATTGGGAGGGGGCAGGGGTAAAAAGCAGAGATGGGAATCGCGAGCCATGCATCGAACCAAGCTTTTAGTGCAGCGTTCGCCTGATAAAAGATATCCAAAGCTGAGTTGTGACCTGAAGTGAGGGACCTGAGGGAATTTGAGAGGGAGGCAAGGAGTTCGGCGTCGATCTTTGGTGGCTCGTACAGCCGGAGCCGTGCAGTGGCCATTTGGACTTTTAGGAAATCTGACGTTCGTTAGCGTAACAGTCTGCATGTAGTGGCTTAGAATACTTGCATTTATCTTCCAGAATCGGAGGCATATTGTCTACAAGCTTGTCCAGCTCGGCCTGGAAGCTGGATGCATAAGCTGAGATCGGGGCCTTTGGAAGTCCCAAGCCCCCATCCCAGTCTTCGTTTGCCCGAATCTGGGATATTCTCTCTGCTAAGCGCTGAACTCTGACAATATAGATGACGTGAATGTCTGACTCGAACTCCATGGCTTCGTCAAGTTCGCGCAAGCATTGCTCCATATATGCCGAGAACCTCATGGGGTCGATTTGCTGGACGTCTAAGGAGACACTGCAAATGGTTAATAATCCTGACTAGCAAGTGAAAATTCAGAGACTTACGATGAGCTGAGGTACCAAACCGCCAACAGCAGTCTCCTCTCTTCATTCGTTCGCTGCTTCAGCTCGCAAGGCCGCATGACGATAAGTCTCGTCCGCTCTGTCAGGCTAGGGCCACGCTTCAAACCCAACTCTCCAAGAAGACAAGCTGCCTGTGAGACGAGCATGTCAAACTGAGCATGCGCAATACAGTGGTGGTGAAACCATCCAAGGATGACAACTAGACCCAGCAGAAGATCCATCGATCTCTCACATCTCAGGACCATGTGGTCAGCAATATAGGTGAGGAGGCGATACATCTGCCCGCGCATCGACCTTGGACTCCGAATAGATGCGACCATGCGAATAGACGCCATTAGGAAAGGTCGTGTTGCATTGAGCGTGCTTGCTGTCACTCCTGTGGGTATGATCACAAACGGGAAGTGTGGCGCCATCTCGTCTCGGTAGATGGCCAGCAGGTTATCGTCCGTGTCCGGGGGTCCAGGGGCCTCGCCTGGTTCAGCACGACATATGCATGTTGGCGGCACGAAGCAGTTGTATATCTCAGGTATCTGAACAGGGCCTGCATCTATGTTGCTAGATGGCTGCCAAGGCGATGAGCGGCACTGTGTCAAGAAGTCCGGATGGCCGGGAGGAAGTGCTGTGTCATGGTTCGGTATCACGAGGGGACGTCTAGGCGGATCACCCTCAGGGTGTTTGGGGAGGCCAGAGACATTGCCTGTCACTCTCAAGGAGGTTACGAGGCGGTTTAGTCGCTCTTCAAGCTGCCTGGTTTTACTGTCATGTCGATGTTAGAAACATGATAGATCGGCTCGCCTAAGAAGCAAATGGTACATGTACATCCATGACAAGATCGGAGTGATTAAAATGCTGATAGTTTGGGGACTGGCAAGTGCTTTTAAAAGGACTCAACTTACGAAGGTTTGCTCTGCCTCTTCTTCCGTGGCTTGTGTACCTGTTCTGTACAATTCTTGTAGAGCCTATCGCACCTGCTCAGGCGCCATGGGCACCAACACGTCAGTTGACTGTCCCTTGGAGTGACTGAATAACCTGAAATCCATCCTATCATAAAGGGACGGCGGTCCCAAACTGGCAACCTCTCCTACTGTGGCTTCGTACGGGGCTTCCGGCTTGGTGCGGCAAGTGGTTCCGGACCAGGGGTTCTCGGCAAATGTCCGTTCCCTTCACAGGGAACTGACCGGTCGACATACTCGCACTGAGAGGAAATCGAACATACCTATCACACTTCGACCCAGGCGTGCTGTTCGATCGGAGGCACTTTGCTTTCGCCGTCGCACACGGAGCGCAAGCGGCACCCCATCTGGCTACCGACGGCACCCGGGGGCGATCCGGAGTAGAGCCCGTCGATGGCTCTGGAGATGAGGCCGTAGACATCTTGACCTTCTCTGCAGGAGATACCCGTCAGGCCTCTATTGAACGACGGTCGCTTTGAAGATGAGCCGGGAAGTTTTCAAATTCCCGTCCGCCGTCGATTCCTCGTTGATCCACGTGTGAAGCTTGTGGCAACGGGAGGTGAGATCTGGACGTCTAATAAAGGAGCCTGCCAGCCGAAAAAGACACCAGCAGGCTTCGTAATGTAAGAAACACTTAAGCTTAACAGGCTGAGGTAAGAGTACTTCGTATCACCCTTTTTACTGCCACCACGCTGACGTTCGACCGGAGTTTTCAGAGGCTGGGCAAAACCCCGATCCCTGCTCACAGGGCTGTGCAGGCGAAAATCACGCTAATCCCGCCAGTGCAGATTCCTGCCATAAGCAGTAGAGCAGGGGGTGCAGCGCCCTGGAATCCTTCGCCCAGCGGTCTGTGAACGGGATTTAGCGAAAACGCCGTTCGAGTGAAGCCGCCTTGGCGCCGAAGTACGAGGCGTCTTGTCGATGAGGTTATATATGAATGGTGTCGGACGCGTTGTGGTTGATGATGCGTCAAACGGCTGCGCCTTCATTCATGATGAATCTCAGATGGCAGACGCGATTTGCGGGCGCGGGCTTTCACGCTTTGGCAGACGAAGTTGCCCCGAAAAGCGTGTACCACTTTGCGGATGGGTCTGATAAGCATAAAGTTATCAAAAGCCTCGTATGTCATGTTGAATAATGGAAAGAGAGGTGAGATGCTGACAAAGTGAAACAGTCAGCGTGGGCTGACGGTGTGTTCTGATGCGGGCCGTCTGACAATGCATTCGGCGGACAGCTTGTTTGGTGCCCCTTACGGGGAGTTTTGCTATCCGGGCGGATACTTCTGGCTATCCGGGTGGATCCCCACTTTTCAGTGATTCGCGCAATCTCATAGGCCCACGCCCGCCCACGATCAATTGCTTCCTTCACAACGACGCGCAACTAACGACTTCGCGCGTAACTAACGACTTCGCGCGTAACTAACGACTTTATGTAGTTGAATAACTGCGCGCGATCAGTAACTGCGCGCGATCAATAACTGGGCGTAGCGACGTTGTGTTATGCGATTGGCTGTGCGATTGAGCTACGTAGTCTGATTGGGTGATATAAGTGGGGTATCCGCCCGGACAGCAAAACTCCTTACGGGGATCGTTGCCGTGTGCGATGGGATATTTGTCCTCTTGAGGACGGGCCGTGAAACCTCCCCCCATGAAAGTAAAAGAAGAAAAAAACGATTATCATAAAGCCAATGTTCGACCTAACTTAGACATAAAGAGCCAACCACGGTGTTATTAGGGATCTGTTTGGCTGTAGCGGTTTGTAGTTGAATACGAACAAATCGTGCAGTCAACTTATGGCATTGCGGTCTTAAGACGGCGGCACGTTAATTTTCAACACTCGATGAAGCAAACAGTATAGATTAAAATGAGACTGTTCCCTGTCCAACACTCGCGCCACGTCGTATCAGTATTAAGGTGCTGAGATTTATCATCTCCCACTCAACGGGCCCCAAATACCCGAAAACGCATGCAGCCCGCCAATTGCAGCACAAGCTTCGTATATAAAGATCAGGATACAAAACAGGACAGGCCAGACAAAAAGATGCAAACAAGATGGGAATAAGCCATAATGAATCGCAAGAGCAAAGAAAAGGTTCATACGCATGCCCGTACGTTGGCAGGAACTGCGATGCGCCATTGTCCGCCTGTTTTGCTGACTAGATACTGTCAGGGCACAGTGGTATGAGATGAAATACAGACCTTGGTCCTACGAACCAACCGAACTTCTCTGATCGTTCGAATATTCACCTCCAAGATCTTTTTTGGTGCCTAGAAAGCTGTACCTCTCGTCGTTCAGTACGCCAATAGTGAGGTGCTTTGTTTGATCGCTCTCTCTATAAAACCAGCCCAGTCGAAATCTGAGTCCTCGTAGCTGTTCCAGGGTATCGACTTTAGAGAGAGGCTGAGAAGGCATGTGCTGTATTGCATTGGAAGACATGAGGAGGGCAGAAGTCATGTAGACACTGGTGAAGTTTTCTGGGGCAAGACCTTCGAGGTCCATGTCTAGCAAGCTTCTGCGCCAGCCCAACAGGCGTCTTGTGATCGCAGAAAGCAGGGTTGATAAGTGCGCAATCGCAACCATTCCAAGAATTCCGACGAGAAAGTACGTTGCTGTCTGGTTCTGGACGAGTCGTCGTCTACTGTGGTCGAAGATGGACGCATCAATCTGAGATAGGCTGTCGGATGGGATAGGCAATTGAGGGAAATCTTCTTCAATGTCAATACGGTTTTCCAGGTTAGCGATTTGTGCGCTCATTAATCCTCGATTGTTGTGCAGGTTTTCCAAGATAGCTTGTTCCTGTTTGGGATCTCCAAAGCCTTCGAAAGGAATTTTCCCAAACGGCTGAATAAGCACTCTGAAGATATCGTCTGTTACCCCGTGACCCGTGGTTAGATTGCCGAGTCCAATGCGAGGGTGTGCGTGGTAACCCTCAATGTCGTCTGCTGGTGCGTCGTATAGTGGCATCCTGAAAGGTGGGTGCAATGCCGTCGTGGTTGACTCGTCGGGACGTGGAGGAAAATTCGGGTTTAAGAGAAGCTCGCCGTTGACCACCATCATGTCCACAGCTACCATGGTTTTGACCCACGAGTACTGACACTTCCAGATACTCAAATGATCAAAGGTTTGTCGATTGATATTCCACTGCCCCCATGCGTAAGTCCGCCAGATCGACGCGACAGAAACAGACTTGGTGTCATTCGGCTTGTGGCAGCCGTAATCAATGTGGCCAGACATCCCCTTCTTGTAACCGTAGATGGTCGACGCGAAATAGGATTGATTTCCGGGATTAAGATCATCCCCCAGAATGAAGCTGACTTCGGTATCAATTGTAGTCCCATTGGGACAGGTAAAAGACACGTTCGTGTAAGCAGTATAAAAAGTTCTGAATACTATTGTTGTCATTGGTACGAGATGTGATTGGGGGATCGGTACCGTCCTGTTTTCGATAGTCATGTTCTGGTCTTCAACAACTATCCTGTGGCAACTCGGACGCAATCTTACTGCTGGGACTTCGAGTTCAACTGTAATGTTTTTATCGTTATCCATGAAAGATTCCGGGATGCTGCCAACACGGGGAAATAATAGGTTGTCGAATGTGTCTGCCGGATACGTCAAGTTGGTCTCTCCTCGTCTAAGCAAGAGACAACCAATCTCTTGTCTTCTAACAATGTAGCTTGGGTCGTTCAATGATTTGTCGCCGAGCCAGCTCTTCTGTGCCAACTTGATTTCAGTCGGCCGAGGGTCAGACTCGACTGTAAACAGGACACATGCAATAGTTGTTATAAAGGCACAAACGATGGCCAATGACTGCGAGACCGTGATTGGCCAAATAGCCATTTTCATGGACTTAATAAACGCACTCGCCCCCAGCATATCTAGGAGCGAAACGTCCAGCTCCTCAGCCGAGCTTTCCTTTCTGGAAATAGCGTAGACGGTAGAAAGTCTTCGTAGAGCTGTGTCGTACGACGTGACGTACAAATTTACCCCAAGGGCTACTAAAGCCGGCAGCGATGTCCACAATAAATACCAATGGCCTCTCATGGTTGTGACACCATCTTGTGTGCTGGATGTTTGCAAGCTGAAAAGTAGTGCAATGATGAGACCAA